TATCTGTACCAGTGTACATCCACTGGTCTAGCTGGATTGAATAAAGATGATTTATGGGACAAAAGAATCGTCTGTATAAGTTAAAGAAAATTTTTTTAATTATATGTGGAAATTGATATTTTCCCTTTTGATTTAGGATTGGTGATAATGTTTTAATATTAACATTCTGATACACAGTAAATTGGATTGAAATACATTAATTGCTATGCCTTTTTTCTCCTTTGTAGTTAATGGTTCTTGCTCTACTCCGTCAGTATATCATTAGCACCTGTTAAGGATACTGATAGATGTAGAAACATGATAGATAGCATCCAGAGAGAAATTAATCTATACTCTATTAAAACTTTAGAAAAGCTTATGAAGCACTTTTTAATTAACTACTTGTTAATGGTCATTACTTAAAGTTTATTTCCTCTTTATTACATATTTTCTTATGCCTTCTATTAATGTTTTATAAGAATGTTAATATGAATTTATGGTAATACTAAATACACGTGAAGTATTATTAGCCACTCAACTAATATATGCTGATGATTGAATATAACATTCAGTAAAATCTCTTATGCAGTAAACAAATTATGGTTTTATACTATGGTCCCTTAGTAGCAAATCATTCATTCATTTGTTTTTGTAAATAGGTTTATTCATGCAAGCATGTTAAGAAGAGTTGTGCAGTCATTACCACTATCACCTTCGGAATATTTTCTTGTAGTCATTGTTGTTAGCTCCCCACTTGCCCCCCAACCTCACTGTCATGCTCCTAGATAATTATAAATCCAGTTACTATCTGTATAGATTTACTTGTCCTGAATTTCATATACAGAAAATCACACAAAACACAAACAGGAAGCAAACAAACAAAAATCTAAGAGCATTGACTAGACAAAACAGAAAACCTCAATCAAGAAGAAAACAAAGTTAAAAAAACTAAAATAACATTAAACTAGGTCAAAAAGGAGATCAAGTGAAAAGGTGTTACATTTTAATATAACTGCATGTGCCCTATTGACTTTAAAATGCTTTCTCTCAAATAGCAAGATTATTCACAACCCTGGACTATGGTCAGAGGGAATTTTCTGAAGGCTTAATCCATGTAGGGGATCCTGCAGATAGATTTTGGGCTTCTACTGTCATCCATAGCCTTCTGTAAACTGGGTGGTCCATAATTTAAACTGATGTCATTCGCTCCTTTGGATTTGGATTTTATTATTTACAACATTTGGATCACACAGGCTGATGTGCTTCTTCTATATGGACTTAGTTGACACCTCACTAGGATGGCTTCTTGATTGAAGACAAACTTTCAAGACCGTTCTTTCTGATAAGTGGGCACTATCTGGTTTCTTCCCTGTACTTTGCTATAGCACCCATATCTACAGTGACTGGGGTTGGAATTAAGTCATACATGTATGATTTCTAGATGTGTTTCTTGTTCATTTTAGAGACAGCGTTATCATTTTAGGGTAGAGAAAATTATCCAGTCGTCTTCCTAGGGCATAAAGTAATTTTTATTGATAGTGTCATTAATTGAGCCAGTAATACAGAATTAAAACACTGTCGAGAAATGGAAACTATACAACTATAGGCCAGCTTAAAATCACAATACGTGAAATGTTGACTTGTATAGATTAAACTCTTAAGTGACTGTATACTTTTTACATGAACGGTAGGAGTTGGTGATAGGACAAAGCTTTCAATAACATCCAGCCACAAAGGCAGAACCATGCCTACCAGACTAATACATGTTATAGGAAAGCAAGAAGTCATTAAAATAGTAACTATATGGTAGTCCTGAGCCACTGTTAATTGGATACCCTCAAAGCAAGAGATCCTAACCAAAATTTAGTGAGTACTAATTTCATACCTTTGATAAGCAATCATCTGTTCTTCCTACACTGGAGCTTTTCAGCCTTAAGTCCAAGGGGGAAGTATATCAGTTTCTTAAATCTGCTACAGAGGAGTTCATTCGAGGTTAAAGCCCAGTTCGCTTAGTGAGGTTTCCAAATTGAATCATTTTATGTGGCCTAATAAGGATGTTGGGTGTTTCGAAGGGACAAAGTCTAAAGTCCCTTGATCCATAGCACATGGCCTCGGACACCAAGGACTGGGTTGGAACGAGGTAAAGAGTGTCCACTTAGGAACATAGTACCTGGCACATTCTCCCCTTGGGTGCTCTATAAATATTAAGCTTTTTCCCCTTGGTGGGAGGTTGCTCCACTGACAGAAATGTATTGACTTACTCTGAAACATACATACCCTTCAATGTTAGCTTGAATTTCCAAATCATTTGGCTTACCATTCTTTTAGGCGTGTCTTGATTTGAGGTGAGCTTAGCACAGTGCCACACGGCAGCAACAGAATGGCCTTTCTCCCTCTCCCCCATCTCGAAAGTCTGACCCCGAGGTGAGGTCTCTGTCGAAGTGGTTTTTAAGATGTACGTATGAAGGGGAGATATATGGCTCCTGTGCACTCATGCTCTGTACCTCTTTGTTTGAGAGATTGGATTTGAAGATGGCGTGAACTAAAAGCAGAAGCTTGCCTTCATGTTGGTGTTTATCTTTATAGAAGTGTATACATACAGTATTTGTCTTTTTGCAATGGACTAACTTCACTCACCGTAATGGTTTTCAGGTTCAC